CACAAGTTTATTCTTAATTCATACTCTTTTCAGTTAGTCAGACCATCCAATCTTATGAAAAAATGTATAAGTAGCCTGTTCATAAATAAAATAGTATAAAAATATAAACAAATTTATCCCTTTGGTTACAGCATGTGCGTGACTCCAGACCAAACCACCCAATTTTATGGGAACTTGTCCAGTCCTTCGTCTGATCCTCCCACAGAATAGACAAGAGTAATAAAACATCAGAAAACCCATATAAAATAAGGAAACAAAACCATCCAATCTTATGGAAAAATGTTTGGTCCCTGAAAGTTAAACACAGGCAGCCTTCGCAAGTCAAAGCAACCAGACCACCCAATCTTATGAGAACCTGTTCAGTCCTTCGTCTGATCCTCCCACATAATAAACAAGAAAATATTAATAAAACATTAAAAAACCCATATAAAACAAGGCAACCAAGTCATTCAATCGTATGGAAAAATGTTTGATCCCTGAAAGTCAAATACAGTCAGCTCTTGCAAGTCAAAGCAACCAGACCACCCAATCTTATGGGAACCTATCTGGTCCTTCAGGCAATCAAAAATAAACATAGCACTGAGCCCTTCAATCTTATGGAGACTCTCTCAGTCATTGGTTGACCCAGTCAAACACAAGTAATACAACCTTCCTCCCACCTTTCTCCCAGATGCAGTCCCTTTTTTCAATCTGTTTCCAGTCAACATAATAAAATTGAAACTGAACTTGTACAATCATTCATTTACTAAGTCTGGTTTATGTCATGAAAATCAAACTAAAAGTCAGAGTAGGAATGCAAACAGTATACTCAATCAAACTGTAGAAGGATGTACAAATAGGGGTTATAACTGGGTTTATAGAGAGAAAGCAAATGGTTACATTTCAGTTCTCTGCCTCCAGAACTCCTTCTGAGTTCCGACAGAGCTCCCGCAATCGGTGGGCTGACTCCCCACAAAGTCTTGTTGCGGTCCTATGGGTTGCAATCTCGCCTGCCGCATTCCTCTCGTAACCAGGATTAGACTTAGAGTAAGCAGGGCATAAGATAAGGGTTTCAAACTCTCGAGATACAGAAGAGGGATTTACTCAACTCCCAGGAGAGGGTTTTGAAACCTCCAGTCTCCTGAGGGCCCCACAGTGGCGGTCAGGATACGCAACAGTTTGGTCAATCCGAAGTTCAACCTCCTATCGTCGACTCCCTTGCGATCCTCTAGCTTGCGACAAGGACTTTGTTTTCGTAGTCAGACCACCTCCCGTCAACCCAATTGCAACCACGCAACCTAAAAAGGTTGCCTCTTGAGTAGAGCACTCCCTTCGTGCCCTAGTTACAGTGCAGACAGAATGCAACATTTACGCAACAAAGCAACATATACCGTAATTACATGGCCAACCAATAATTACAGTCGCCGCTCAACAATACATGTTAACACACTGCGTTCGAGTACAACCAGCAGTGCTGCCTAGTCAGGGTTTGCACATTAGACGCTCTTCACCGAGCCTAAACCTTGAAAGCGGGAGTTCACTTCACTTCTCTGATTAGCATCCTGTGTGAGGGAAATCCGGCCTTTGCAAAGCCACAATAAGAGCTAGATAGTCGGAAACTATTCAAAAAGCGGAACTGCAATGTTGTGATACAAACGAGAAATAACACACCTAGTTCGGACGTGAAGGCAAGCATGCAGCGACTACCAGCCGGGAAGCAGAAGTCTCACCCCGAGTATAGTCACACAGTTACTTCATCCTAACTACACAGTATCAAAATAACCAGTGGTCTTCAGCGGCTACGGTCAGGGCACAAGCAGGGATCAAACAGATAGTCGTGACCAGAGTACGTAGTAATGTCGCGCAACATATCAACAAGTCTAATTCTCAATGCACCTGGTTGTGTCCCCATCCATGTGCATCCAAAATAGGAAATAGAGAAGGAAACACTCATACAGTTTCAAAATTGGTCCCTCAACCACCCACCATCGTAAAAGAAAAAGCTTCCCAAGATAGGTAAACCCTCTCTCTCTCTCTCTCTCTCTCCATGTGTCCACACAAGTTTATTCCATTCAATCATTCCTCTGATTGCATAGTTGAGCTTTCCATTTGGCCACGAAAAATGCAATTGGGTCGCAACAGCGACCGTCGACTTAGGCGGGCTACTTTTACACGGACACGGTCACCGGCGATCGAGCCGGATAGACATTCCAGTAATAAGAGTGGTTACATTAGTAGAATTGGCTGCAACAATCGATGAGGTTGGTGGGCTCGAAATGTAGTCAACCAGAAGTTGAGCACGTCTCATGACAACGACGATCCCTACACCTCGTCGGTTAGACGTAGATCTCGACTCTCCATTTATGCACGCTCCCTCCTTCAAGCAGGAAGTTGCCCCAACATCGAATGGAATGTACCTTCCGCTAGAACACAAGGAAGATACATTGATCGTCGGGTCAGGTGACGATTACCATAAACGCGACCACCACTTCAACGGAATTCATATCGCGTACGATAATGACCAGTCTGACCAATAGCGTGCTACGAACAACACTCGTTTGCTCCTTATTCCAAACAACCGGCTCCCACTCAATCAGCTGCATCAATCCCTAGATCTCCTTGGTAAAAGTCCGCCACCGTAACCAACAGTGTTAGGCTCAAGGTTAAGTCTAGTATTGACTAATACCTATATAAATGGATACTGCGCGACGCGCAGATGTACCGAAATGTTTTCAAAACCACGTTGTTGTCGATGTCGACCTTCGCACGTACGCACATGTCACAGTCAAGCACACCAATCAAGAGACAAAATCGTCTTAATCCTAGTTTATTCAGAAATAAAACTCGGCCGGCAACTACGCAGACTTTTCAATCATCAACAAGTAAAAAGATCACGCGCGCCGCAAGCCTGCGCGCCCACACACTCTCTACTATAGTCAACCATCTAGTCAGTGTAAACAACATACACAACTGCGACTCACGCGGCGTGTTCTGACTGTAAACCAAACTATTGCCCTGTCGCTTGCAAAAAACAGGGCGGATACCCTTGTAAGGGTATTTGCTCCGACATCGGGATGTCCTGAATACAGCAGATGGCTATCTCGTTGCCAAAAGCCGACAAGCCATATTGACCGTCTCCTGAGGCATAGGGGGAGCTGGAATTTGCAAGGATGGCAAGATGGTTTCGGTACGCGAGGTTGCCCAAGCTAGACCATACATGCCTTCTTGTGTTGCCGTGAATTACAATGGCGGCATGTATTTTGTTTAGCCTTGATCTTGACCCTTCTTGGTCGTCATTTGCCGCCTGTTTCTCTTTGAAGTCTGCTGTGCTGATGGGTGATTCACAGTCCTGTCCCCTTGTGTTGAGGTCTCCGAGATTGCCCCCGTCCACCTTTCTCGATTTCGTAAACCCTTCATGTCCTCACTGACAGGAGGTGCCTGACGGACCCTTGCTTCTTGCACTCGGAGAGGTAGGGTCTCTCTCTTGACGTGACCCTCCAACCTGCTGTACCGGTAGTTGTGGTTTCGTGTATACAGGGGTCCGTCCGATCTGAGAATCTCACCGCCATGGTTTGACCACGTTGAAATGTACCGGAAATTGAACCAAACCTTGGCAATTGAAATGGCCGCCGCGATGTCAGGGGGACCCCTCGAGGCAAATTTCCCAAGATAAAAAATGACAACCGGAAGGGGGTGTGCGGAGGGCCAACTGAACGGCCGTGGCAACGCAGAACTCGATTCGCCAAATTGGCGAGATCTAACGGCCGTGTCCATTTCCGTGGATTATTGGCACGACGTTTGGTGTCTTTGGGCCTCGCTGCACCCGTCACCAAATGTGAAAAAGACAAGAATACGTCGGATGTACCTGCCCACGTTGAACAGGCGAATACATTTCATTTTCACATTTGGCGAGCGGTGGGCGAGGCCCTCTGGCGTGTGGTCGTCATCCAGCAGCAGTGGCAGCAGCAGTCGCAATCGCTGCTCTCGTCTGGTTATCGTCGGTTCAGCTGTTGGGAAACGCACGCGACGGGGGCGAGGTGCCTGGTTGATCGGACGGATATCATCTGTCGCTTCCGCTCACTCAAACAAGGCTCCTACTGTGTTATCTATAACGGTTCCTGAAAAAAAATTATCTCATTTTTTTTCAACACGTTGAGCTGGGCTGGCAGCTGATTGTTCCTGAAAATTTCGGATCACCAAATCCCTTCGGACAGAAAGGACAAATTACCAAAATTTTTGGAAAGCCTGAGCGGACACATCAGGGGCGGGGGTCTTGGAATTTGTAGCGCGGGACAGATCGGCGCGCAGACCGGACAGGCATGGTCGCGCTGAGGCTCTGGGTACGGTATTAGGCGCGGATGATGCTTCGGCCCCCGCCCTGGGCTCGACATCTTCGGTACGGCTGTTCATCTGCGAACGCATTGAGGTGGGTGCCTACGCGGACTGAGGGGAAGGGGGATGGAGAATGGAGACGGAAAGCGGGAACTGAGAGAGCGCCGAGTGGGGCGGAGAAGGGGGCGCGGGCAAGGTAGCGTCTGTGCTTTGGAACGAGGCAGAGGAGGGGGTTAGCGGCGAGGGCACCTTTTTTAGGCTGGTAGGAGTCAGAGGCTGCCTCGTCGACTCCTGGGCTCGCGCCGCGCTTGTCCGGGCTGTGGCAGGTGTGATGCCCGGCCGTAACTCTGAGCGGTGTTGGAAAGGAAGACATTAGGACGGGAGGAGTCGAGAAAGGGGGGCGGAGGGAGTGAGGGAGGGGAGCGAGCGGGAGGGGGAGGGGGGAGGGGGAGAGGGAGAGGGAGCGGAAGAGCGAGGTAGGCAGCGGTGAGTGGGCAGGGGCGCGGCGGCGCGCGGGAGGGAACGAACGACTGACCGGCCAACCGCCGCGGCACTGGAGCGGCTCGACCGGCAAAGAGAGAGAAAGCGCACCCACCGACTAGGCGTTCCAGCAGTTGGACTGACAGGAAGAGCATGCTCAATCGAGCCGGCGTGTTTACGTTGGTTTTTGCGAGTACATGGCTGACCGCGGGGCTGCTATTGCGGGTACTTCATGGCGCCTTCTGTGTTCAGCAGACAGACGCTGCGTGCGAAGCCATGCGACTTCTTCGAAATGCCTGGTGCGGTGGCCGTGGTGGTCCAAGTATTCACCTTCTCCTCTTCTGTATCCGCCAATTAGTACACCGGCATTGCTACGTAGGAACGGGTGGCAGGACAACGTTGCTGCCTCTTGTTGTTTCTGCTGCTGCAGAGCAATCACCACCAGCAGCATCGATGACAACAGTCGCTGGGTTGGCGTAGTAGCCTGTATGAGACCGGATCCACCTGACCCGAAGCCGGTGGAGGATGACCTTCCATCTAACCGTGATCCTTCTCGTCTTCGCCTGGTTCACGTTCTTCTTCGTCTCCTTTGGCTTCCTCCTTGTCTGCTAACTCTTTTCGTCCCCTCCTCTCTTCTCGTTCCTCTGCCGTAGCTACTCTGTCTACGGCACCTTGGCAGCCTTCCTCTGCGCGCGCTCAGTCGTCTTGCTGTCTGCGGTGAAGTTTGGAAACCCGTGCTTCGCCGTCGAGGTTGGGACTGCGGGTCGCGATTGATGGCACCCTGTTGATCCTGGTAAGCAATGGCGCACAGCGACTAAGGGTCACCGGTGCCGGCCATCTCTTGTGGAGGGAGAAGATCGAGTACATCGCCGTAGAAGTAGTGCTCGGATCGCATCTCCCTTACCTCGACCGCCTGCTACGCGATGATGAAGGTAGTGTCTCTCGAGCAAGCTGGACGTATGGAATTGAGTGGTTGGTTTTGCGCGAAGACGCAAAAGAAGAGGTTATTGCCTTGTCATGCTGCGTGGTGTGGTGACGATCTCGCTGTCTACTTCTACTGCTTTGGCCAACTATAGGTGCGCGTGCGCGCGTTTGACACGGCGGTTGGTTGACTTCCGGGATGCGAAGCAGCGTGAATATGCTGAGGGGTGAGGGGGAGTGACTTGAACCGATTAGAAGGGAGATCCGTCGTAGGATCGGGGCGTCGTTTCCACCATTAGGAACGTGTGTGCATTCCTGCTTCGTCCTTGCTGTCGCATCGTTCTCGCCTCTCCTTCCCTCTCGCGCTTGGTTTCCTAGCGCCTTCCACCCTTCCATTTCGAGTTGTCCTTGTTCCCAGCTGCTAATCTTAGCAGGATAGCCAGGACGTCGAGCAAGCTTGCGGTTGCTTGCTCACTGTCGTGATGTCCTTAAAAAAAAAGGTTTTTGTCGGGACGAGATTGGTTCGTATCGACGCGAGTCGTAGCTATAGGAAGTAAGGAGAGGAGGACGTCCTCTGTTATCGCCATATTCAGCGCCTTCTTGAAACGGTCATCGAGGGCAGATCTGAGAGGAGAAGGCGTGACAAGATCGCCTGTGTGTATGGTCGGGACTTTGGTCTACGCTGGCGTTGCATGCCTTCCCAAGATACGTGCTTCAAGGGGGACTGGACAAATGCCGAAGGTATGTCTATACGCCAGGTTCCGCCGTCTTTCCTTCTCCTTATCACGATGAATTGGCAAGTCTTCCCTTCACATGGTTTGTTGCATTGCAGTGCTCTTTGCCTGGATGTGATCGTCGGTCTCGTTGCCATGCATT